CTATTGCCGTGTACAAGCGGGGGACTTGTGCTATTGCCGTGTACAAGCGGGGGACTTGTGCTATTGCCGTGTACAAGCGGGGGACTTGTGCTATTGCCGTGTACAAGCGGGGGACTTGTGCTGTTGCCGTGTACAAGCGGGGGACTTGTGCTGTTGCCGTGTACAAGAAAAGTAAAATGTTCCACAGTCCTTGAACCTGGGCTCATGATAATTCCACCCATCTTATTTAAATAACTAAGTCATCCAATTCAAAACAACAATTTTATTTGGCCTTGAATAAACATTAACTTATAATATAATGTAAATGTTTTATACATAAATTATTTTTCCCCCTTTGATAAATTACTTTGTGCAAAATTAGTCTATTTTACTTGAAGTAATAAGTATAAGTCTACTTTAATTTATGTAATAAATCTCTTTAACTTTGTGTTATAAGTCTATTTTAATCTGTGAAAAAGTCTATTTAACTTTGTGTAATAAGTCTATTTTACTTTAAAGTAAAAGTCTATTTTACTTTAAAGTAAAAGTCTATTTTACTTTAAAGTAAAAGTCTATTTTAATTTATGTAATAAGTCTATTTTATGTAATAAGTCTATTTTCAAAAGTCTACAGATCTCCTTGTAATTCAATTTAAACAAAAAAATTGAAGTCCTATTTATTTATTTGTCCCATTTTAACAAGGCCTTGATACTTTTGTAACAAAGTAAAATATTCCTAGACATGGAGAATATAGAGAAGGTTGAGAAATTGACATTTAATGATATTTAATGGTAAAGCAAAGACACTCAAATAGTCCTGACGAATTATAATTATATAAGTAACTATATTTTTTATGAAGTGAGGGAATTAGGCTAATAATTATACCAAAGTTGTGTGGGGGCAGTGGCTTTTAACCTTTTTGAAGCTGGAAGGCCCACACTGTAAGAATGTAACTAAGAAGTGGTTGCATTAAATTTAACACATTAATAAATTGCACTGCTCCTATAACACGCTGTCACTCTGAGATGTGGTGTGCTGTTCAATAGCTCAGAGGTAAAGGGATGACTGGTCGAGAGGGTAATCACCATATCACAGTCCATGTTCCTGCATTAATTTTTTTAGCCATTTATTTATCATATAATAATTTACGCAAATATGTATATACATGACAAAATGGCTAGAGGATCAGGAAAATAAAAATATATTCAAACACAACAATTTTTTTTTTTTTTAAATTTGGGAAAAAAACAAAAAGTTTAATGAGATGGTCAACATGAAACTGTTGACTAGCCTTCAAGTCTCTCTTTTTCTTTTATATTTTGAGGGCCCACGATCAATGAATTGATCTTTCTGGCTCCGTCAAATGATCTGATGTGAACTGACAAGACCTAAATGAGATTTGACAACACCTTTAAGTGGAGTAATGACATTGCTTTTTTTGCAACAATTTTCTCTATCCTAATATTTCTCCTCAATAATAAAACATGGCATTGGACTGAAAAGAATAGGCAACACTGTGGAAAATTACAGACATTTATTCCATTAAATAAATGGAAATTATAAAAAAAATAATTTTTTTTTAAAATGAAGCAGATTATTTCAAATTCCTGAAGGTGATTGGATGGATCCCAATTAAACATTCTGAGACCAAAGTTGGACAAAAGTTGAGAACCACTCTGCCACAAAGCAGCAACAAATACTGTCTAATAAGCTTGACGGCATAATCATGTGTCATAACATCAGCGGTAGGGTTCAACCGGTTTGCCCTGGTTCAGAAGAACCATTACCCGATTTGTTAATATTTTGCAACAAGTTATTATATGACACTTGCATTCAGTCACTATATGGTACTTGTATGCAGTCATTATATGGTACTTGTATGCAGTCATTATACGGTACTTGTATGCAGTCATTATATGGTACTCGTATGAAGTCACTATATGGTACTTGTATTCAGTCACTATATGGTACTTGAATGCAGTCATTATATGACACTTGTTTTCAGTCATTATATTACACTTGTATTCATTCATTATACAGCATTTGTATTCATTCATTATACGGCACTTGAATTCATTCATTATACAGCTCTTGTGTACAGTCATTGTACAGCATTTGTATTCAGTCATTATACGAAACTTGTATAAATTCTTTATGCGGCACTTGCTTTCTGTGTTCTCTCTTACGTGACAATTTTAAATTTCCTTCTTTTTATTTAACATTCACCTGTGTATCAGCACATCCTAAGCACCCAAAGTAGTGTCCATATTTTGGTCCATAGGTAAAACAAAAAAAGTTGACTGAACTTATGCTTGTAATTTTAATTATACATTTCATACCTTTGAAGAAATATTTGTTTTGGTTTTTTAGACAGTAATTACATTATTTAATATTTTACATTAATATTTGCAACTTCTATCTAATAAAATGAAGGAAATGGTGGCACAAGGTATGTGGAAGCTTGAAATATAAAGACAGTCCAAGTAAAATGAAAGAAGAACATTTCGGCTAAGAACCTTCCTCAGCAGACAAGGACAAAGGAAGAAACGACAAGAAATAGAAAGTAGTTCAAAAACTAATTCAAAATCTTAAGTGGTCCCGTTAGTATGAATATATAGATAAACAAATTGGCTTTGAAATTTGCTCTGTTTTAAAAAAAAATGACACTGATTACAAAGCTTTTAAAGAATGATGAAGATCTATAGGTAGAGTATTTAAAAAGAAGGGAAGGGTTGTGCTGCTTTGTAACTTATTAAATGTTAAACTTAAACTAACTTTAAAGATGAACAAAAAATTCAGCAAGGAACTAAAGACAAAAAACATTGTAGTGATTCAGTTAATAAAAAATTGTCATCAGACCAGCAAATAAAAAAATAATGAAATAATACTGTTAATATTATGACAGGTTTGAAAATAAATAAAACAAGGCACAGAGTAAGACAGATAAAAATGACTTGGAAAAAAAAAAATGGTGTGCATAAAAGAACCCGGAAAAAAAATGGTTAAGTCACAAAACATTGGCGTTGTCAGGTGTACCTTGACTAAATGCTGCCTCAAAGTGTGCCAGCTTAACACAAAACCACTAAAAGTGCCACACTCCTCGCACATCCCTAGGTTTTTCCACTGGCTACTGGGTGTTGCTGATGCCAAGACGAGTGGTTCCAGATCTGAGTGAACTCACTCTTACAAAATGATCAACTGTAGTTCATTTCCTTGACTCATTGGATCAAGAATGATTGATGTAATTGCGCTAGAGACATCTGTATTGTGAACCAAAGTTTTTAAGTAGCTGCCATAGTGAACAAATGGTTAATGTTAAACATTTGGATACAACTCAATAGGTGCAGAGGTTGTGTGTTGAGTAAATCTGCATAGAAAAGGGCCCCTTGACCACCTAGGTGCTGCCTAGTGAACCAACACTGTTCAGGTACTTGTCGGTTATAGAAAAAACGTCAAGCTATTTGTAATTTTGAGATTATTGACAACCCGAGGAGAAAAGTCAAAATTTAACAACTGATTCGCTCCAAGCAGACTGAACTGGCTCCAGCACACTGCTGCCCTTGACTGCATATAGTCGCTGCGTGAGTGGGAGTAGACAGTCTCAACAATCATATTTTATTGACGGCTCACACTGACTGAGCTGATCGATTGATCTCCTGGATTGTTCTCATGGACTGAATAAACTGACAAAAATGTTCTCATTGGTCTCAGTCACTTGAAATCATTCATGTTTAACATTACTACCCAATGTGACCACTTCATCAAAATTGATGTATTTATAGATTTTTTTATATAGTCAAACCAAATTTAAAAAATCTAATAAAAACCAACAAAAGTGTTTCTGCAACATGAAAATAAATATATTAGGCTTCAATTTAAGCAACTAGAATGAAAGTTTGCCAAAATGTATGTTAGTGGATCAGGATATTTTCATAACTAAAATCATCCAAAATAAAATTTTAAAAAATGTTATGAATAAAAATATAACAACAGGTAAAAGTAATTCATTATGCAAGAAATTTCTATCAAATTAATTATTTTGTCTTGACAGAAAAGACCCCTAGTTCACAGCCTATGGGTTAAAATGCTGAATGGAGTCAGCAAGGGTTTTCTCTGGGTTCGCCGACTAAAGCGGTAAATGTAAACTAAAAAGAATAATTTTTTTAAAGAAATTTTTATTTTTATTCAGTCTAAATAAAGTTTGAATAATTTCATATTAATTACTGAATCTATTTAGATGAGTTTTCTCTTAACATTTAATTATTAAAAAAAAATTTTTTTGAGGTTGCAGGTAAATTGGCGTCTATAAAATGGGTTCTTAACTCAAAAAAGGACATAATGACATAACCCTTCTGCGCAATAAATAATTTTAGAAATTTTTTCCTGTATTCTCTAGAAACCCAGGCAAATGGTATCCTTTGTAGAACTGGAATGCCGCTGCTTCTTGTTTCAAGATTCTATTTACAAATAATCAATAATAAACAACAAACTATGATTGATGTACCGTAACAATTTATTTTACAAATTGAGGGTGCCTCTATGAAAAAAACTTAGGACACAGTAAAGAAGCAGGAGCATTGTTACATTTACATGTCCTCAGTTGACCATTTGTAGGCAATCTCCTGAACTGCTTTTTTGTTGGCCTGCTGGGCAAAAATCTTGCGCTCGAATCCATTGGATCTGTCCACTCCGTCCCACCTATAACCGGGCATGAGATTGTAGCGGTTGGGCGGTGGCGCTGTTCCAGTGTACTTTGGCAGCTCTGAAGAGAAAATTACAGTTTTTAAATATTTGCTTGAACTTAGGTAGTGTACTCATACCATACTTACAGAGATTAATATTTATATATTATATATATATATTATGTTAAGTTTATGGGTTTCATACTGAAACATGGTTTCAATATTCTGTTTATTTATCCGTAACATTGCTTCCAAAATAATTGGCGCTTCCAAAAAAATTGGCGCTGTTCCAGTGTACTTGGGCAGTTCTGAAGAGAACGTTACAGTTTTCAAATATTTGCTTGAACTTAGGGTACCTTACTTACAGAGATTAATATTTATATAGATATTATATTAAGTTTATGGGTTTCATACTGAAACATGGTTTCAACATTCTGTTTATTTATCCGAAACACTACTTCCAAAAATTTTGATTCAACATTTCAAAAACTGTTTAGTTAGCCTTTAGTGCTGCTTGACATTAACTTTTTCCTACACTAGATCACAAAAGATTTATGTACAAAGAAATTCAATTCTCCTTTCCTAATTTAGGGCAGCAGTCGCCGACCACTCAGAAACATTTGCAGATTTTCTTCAGCCAGCCGGGTTTGTCGCAGTAGTATTTTCTTTTCAAAAGCATCCATTTTAGTAGCATGAACACACCCATAGGTTCCAATGCAAGGATATATTCAGTTTTATTTAGCAGCGCTGATCTCGTATAAATTGTTTAATGGTTTTTGTATTAGAGCAAAAATATGTTTTCTTAATCATAAAATCCATTTTGATAATGAAACAAGTTGATTTTTAAAAAAAAAGTAATTAAAGTTAACGATGAATTGAATTTACTACTTTCGAAAAAACTTAACAAATATTGTCATTCAGAGTATAAGAATTTCTTTTACAATTTTAAAATTTATAAAACTTTAAAATGCCAATGATGTCCAGACTTTTCTGTGGATGACCAGACCACCGTTTGGAGACAGCTGCTTTAGAGGAAGACAAGCATGTCTTTATAACTCTATCAGTTTTAACTCATCAATATAATTATAACACAACCAGCTGAGCGCGGCCCAGTTTTAAGGAATGGCCGTCTCACATATCTGCTTACCTTTCTTGGCTGTCTTTCCGGATTTCTCCTCCTCTTTCTTCTGCTTTGTGCGATAGTGATTTAGCATGGGGTCTTCTAGCCTCATCTCACAACGCTGCATTCTGTCCAAATCCACATCATCAGAATGCCGGGCAAATGGTTTGGATGCCTCATAGGCCTGTTCTTCCAAGGCTGAGGCTCGGTTGGCTTGCTGCTTCATTCTGTGAAAAAAATATTAGTTTTGCTAGGTAAACATTTTTTTTTTTAAATATAATTTTTCTCAGAGAAAAGCAAACTACATTAAAAAATTTTTTTCTAAATATTGTTAGTAAAAAGGAAGAAAAAGTTGGCTAATAATATTGATTTGAAATGCTGACTATCAATGGAAGATTACTATTTGATGTGGGAAATCAGCTTTCAATGGCTGTGAAAAAAAATGTTTTTTTTTTTAAAAAGGCAAGTTAAAGAAACCCATGAATTAAAAGTATTTAGTCCATTGTAATGTTGCTACAATTTCTGGCAGATTTCTATACTTAAGTCTGCATCCTACCCCTTGCCCCACAACTGATACTGCTTGTTGAGTTCCTCTTTCCGTTTTTCTTCCTCCGCATTCTTTGCTTGCTCCTCAGCCATATTCTTTCTTTTCCCAGTCTCCTTGTCCCTGACCACCGTGGCAGCATTTCTCCCCAGCATGGATTCATCAATCTGAAAAAGGAAGCATAATCTTTTTTCTTTTGTGTGTGCAAATTGTCAAAAGACATTTAAATTTCCAAAGTAAAACAGACAGATTTTTTTTTTTGTAAAATGCCATCTGCTGTTATTTTGCTTTGAAATGCATATAAATCTTCAAAGCATATGGCCAAAAAAAAAATGCAGCATATTTCCATCCAAAATAAATTATCAGAACAATCTTCCTCATCCTGTCAGCATCAAAACATTCTAAATTAATTAAATTTTAAACACTTAAAGAAAACAACTTCTACTAAACTTTATTTTCATGTCTTCAGTTCAAGCAAAATTTGACAAAGCAATTCCAAAATTTCCCTGCGATTGATGAACTCCAATTTAACCTGGTTCCTCACCTTTCCAAATGCCTTTTCCTCTTTCTCTCTAAGTCGCTTGGCTTCCTCGATCATGTCCTTTGCTGAGGATAACCCGGCTTTGGCCCCACCTAATGTCTTTTTGGCCTTTTTAGTGTTGTCCTCCTTGGGCTCTGAGTCAAAACGAGAATGCCGAGTTCCTGGTTCGGAATCTCGCTTTTCTCTAAGACAACAAAATAATAAGCATTGATCAAAAAAATTAATTTACAACAATCATGACTAATTTTTTTTTTTAAATATATATTTTTCAATTTTTTTAATTAGCAACATAAACGATGCACTTAATGTTGCCTGGTAAGGTAGCTATTCTTGATGATGAGGTAAACAATAAGTAAATAGTTAGTAAAATTGATCCACCACTTAATACGGAAGACGGGCGTCAACTTGAAATAAAATAAAATATCGATAGTCTATGCCAGGGTTTGGCAACCTGCGGAACATGTGACAGACTTGGCACTCATAACAATTTTGGCACGCAGAACACAAAAAAAAAATAATTAAAAAGGACTAAAAACTGCATCTTAAATGGTGGACTCATAAATTGTTGGCACACTGAATGAATTAGCAATACGACTTTGGGCATGCTATTACCAGGAGGTTTCTAACTAATGGTCTGTGCTAACATTGGATAATTTTTTAATATTAATGGATGGTTAGTGTAATATTAAAACAAAAAATTACAATAAGAACTAACCTCACAAATCTAAAAGAAATAATTTTTAGATCCATAAATAAAAACAAATATATAATAATGCTAAATGCTGCAAATGGTAGTTAATTAAGAATGTATGAGGGTGGTGTAATAGAGTGGTGATGTTTTCGATTAACCTAAAGTTGGTGCAGAGACAATTGGATAATAACGTGACATAATTCATGGTCATTAAAATGCACAGTGAAAAAGAATCACAAATGATTTCATTCTTTTATTACCTGGACGATGATTGACTAGTAGAGGAGCTAGATTTCTTCCCCTTTGGTGATTCATGTCTCTCTCCTTTTCTCCGCCGAGGAGGCGATTGGTCAGATTCTGATGCCTGTTTACGTCTTCGAGGTGGTGATTGGTCAGATTCTGATGATTGTTTACGTTTTCGGGGTGGTGATTGGTCAGATTCTGATGCTTGTTTATGTCTTCGAGGAGGTGAGCGATCAGATTCAGAGGAGTGTTTATGTCTTCTCTTTGGTGAATGGTCAGAATCTGAATCATGCCTAGTGTTCTTTTGCCATGGTGGTGATGGATCGGAATCTGACTGATGGCCATTTCTTCCATCTGAAATCTTGGTTTCAGATTTGGTAGTGTCTCTTTTTGTTTGCTTTTTTCTAGGTGGAGAGTTATCTGAATCAGAATCATGTCTGACTTTAGACGTATGACCTCGGTCTGGCCAAATTTTAGAACTAGATCCCTTTTTTTGAGCATTTATTTTGGAAAAATTTTGTTTCCTTACAGGAGAGTTATCCGAGTCAGAATCTAGTCTCTGGTTTGAGTGCCGGCTGCCAGTTTTATAATTTCCATCATCAGCCTTAGAACTTTTATTACTACTATTATGATGTTGAGTGTCATTATTGGAAAATTTCTCTCGCTTGGGTGAGCTATCATCTGCTGAACTGATGTCATGTCTTTTACTGGATGAGCCTTTAGACAATGACTTGTCAATAACACCATAGTCTAATGCAGATGTACCATCTAAGGGAAAGTTAAATGTATACATGTGTGTAGGGCATCAGTGTAAACTGTAACTCTAAAAAGATATTAAAATTAAACAGTTTTGTCTTTAACTAATTTTATAAGTCGTGTTTAGGTGAAAAGGTGGTGTTGTTGTTTTTTTAAACCTGTTGAGTATATATTGTAATTTTAAACCTGTTGCGTATGTATTTCGATATTTCCTAATGCTTTTATAACACAATTATACTACACAGAAGATAAGCACTTTTTACCTTCATCGTCCTCCCCTAAGACTTTCCATCTTGAATTTTTTCTGTACTGTTCTAATTGTTGCACATGTTTGGGTCTCTCATCAATTATCTCAGCAACAATGGGGGCCTCATCCAGATCCTCACCTTTTGATTGATGCTGTTTCAATTGTTTCAGGTCTATGTCATCATCAATGATTTTAAGCCTGAAGTATTAAAAAAAGAGGTCATTTAATGGAGTGATGTAAATTATTTGATTTTTTAAAAATTCAACTGATTTCAATATCAATGCAGATATGCAGATTTGTCATTAACATAATGAATGAAATTGGTGATCAGGTCTTTAAATTATACATTTTTATGATAGAGAATAATAATAATTTAAAATAGCTATTATTACTATTAGGCCTACTCTGTGCAATGTTTACAGAACAACTTTCATGTCATTTGTTAAAAAAGAAAAATAATGTCAAAAATACAAAAGAGTTCTCCAACAAAAGCTATTACTATTTGGGATATGTCTTACCCAAAACACAGAAGTATCACTAATCACAGTTATTTAAATGCATCTCAATCACTCACTGATCACTTACTCACACAACTACTAGTCTAGTCACAGTACTAATTTTAATGTGGTAAAATATAGATTTTTTTCATTTCTTTTTTTAATATGGACCATAATGGATGACTTTGTACCGCACTTCGAGCCTTTGGGGATGAAGCGTGATTTTCAAATAAGCTATATTATTATAATTATTGTTACTAGCTCTTATTTTATTTTTCAAATGTTCAGTAAACGTAAATAAGCTTACTTTAGGCTTTAGGTCCAGACATTTAGTGTCATTGTCATTTACTTAAAGTCTACTTCAATTGAACGAACAACAACAACAACAAAAAACCTACTGCCATGGCTAACAGTTTAAAACTTGGTTTTAAGTTAGAGTCGGTGACAAGGGTCACTCAAGAGTGAGGGTTGTTGATTGTACTCACTGTACTGCTACTGAGCTACTGATACAATATCTCACAATCACATGTATTCATCATGTAAATGTATCATGTATTGTAAACACAATGCTCAAATGTCTCAGGCCTGTGTTCTGGTAAGGTACTAATTAACTTAATATTATTGTTTTACTTTGAATCTTTGGAAGATTTTATTTTCCTCCTCTTCTTTATCTTTTCTTCCTTTGGTAAGTCATCTTTAGAAAGGTAACGTTTAAGATATTCAGCTTTGCTGAGGGCAGCCATCTTTAAACAAAAAAAAAAAAATATGACGAATGATCTCCCTTTAATAAAAAATCCATACCAGTTTGAAAAAAAACACAAAATAAATCTAGTGCTTGCAAAAATGTTTTACAAGCACCAGGACACACACGAAAAGATCTTCATATTCAGGGCATTATTATAACAAAAAAATAAGTCAACAATTAAAAATAACGACAAGAGTTTTATTTTCTTTACCCATTATCCTTATTATCCTAAAGTTAAAGCCTAAAGACCTATTTGACCATAATTGTCCTTTAAAAAGTACGTTTCTTTGACGTTGGTACTGGTAGGTGATAAAAAATGTAATTAGCGAATTAGTTTTAATTATTTTTTTCTTACATAGCCTATTAATTATTTTAATTCTAAATTTTTATTTATCATATGGATGCATTTATAATGACATGAAGAAATATTTTGTGCTCTTCTCACAGGTATGAATAGCCTCATTACGGCTGCAGCCGGCAAGACTGATAAACTATTTTTACACATGATAAATATTTTATTTTGATGCTCGTATGCAATAATTAAATCGTGGAAAGTTAGTGTATGGCCAGTAATTGACAACACCAGGGGAGTTATGGAGTGGAAGAGGGTGTGAGAAGAAATGAACTGGGGAAGAAGTTCGGTTAAATTTTGGTTTCTTTTATATTAACTAGATATTTAATTTGTTTAGTCCAGTTTCAATTTCAGTATCTTAAAAAAGTAAATAAAAATAATATTAAAATAAATTTACAAAAAATAAAAGGATGTGGTGTGTGGGAGGGGGGGTAGCAAACAAAACTAGACCTGCTCGTTGATTTGTTTATCACTGGAGGTGTCACAGTAGGCCTACATAGCAATTAGATAAGAATGGCCAGATTATGATTATTTATGTTTTCTGTTCTTAAAATAGTAAATGCTCTAACTTTATTTGTCTTTTTTCTTATGTATTTTTTTTTTTTTTTGCTACTTTTGATTTTCCGGTGTCCTAGATATTGGTAGGCCTCCCTGTTACAATATAAAAAAAAAAAAAATTTTTTTTTTTTTTTTTTTTGCTACTTTTGATTCTCCGCTGTCCGAGATAGTGGTGGGCCTACCTGTTAAAATATAAAAAAAAAAAAAAGAGAGAGAGAGAGAGAAAAAAAAAGGAAGACATTATAGGAATGCAGTTCTCAGGCATTAGCGTATAGCAGAGACCGGACTACAACTCACCCAAGACAAACCACCACGCGTCAGATGGCGTGGTACACGCGTCAGATGGCGTGGTGCACGCGTCAGTCCTTTCGTTCATCAAGTGTACTAAATCCCGAACCTCAATAAATAGCATGGGTGCCACCAGATTGTTGCCTTCCATTTCACATTAAAAATATATGTATATGAAATCTCAGCAATTGGCTGAAAAAATCCGCCAAAAAAAAAATTTGGTGAGGCGGACACTTGACCACAGCCGACTCCAAAGAACGAGATGGAATGACTAAAAGTAACTTGCTTGAAGAAACGCTTGCGGTCCTCGTGCCGCCAGTGTGAGACCTCACGTCATTAGATCGTGTGGCCTTACAATGGAGCGACATCATGTTGGTAGAAATAAAAATATCGTGTCTTGCCTTATCTTAACGTTGTTGTTTTTTTGTCCGTAAACTATATTTGTGTGCTATCGTGTGTCACGTGACAAGAAAACAGATTTTATATATAAAGCTTGCAATTTCACAACTTTGTTGGGCTGGCTGTGGTAAGTTTTAAAAGATTAAATTTTTTTTTTTTAATTTATTTTTAAAACAATGTTATGCATTATTATATTAATAAAAGCTACAAATAGTGTTTTAACGATGCAGTATTTACTTGGTTTGTAACTACCGCTGTTTTACGCTCAAGGATGAATTTACAAAAAATAGTTTTGATAACTCGTTATCTCGTATTTTTTTATTTTTTTTTTGGTCCCCTTGATTTTGAAATCAATTTTAGATTATTATATTTCTCTTTTTTTTATCAATAAAATCTGTTTATAAAGTCTTGTAAGGATGTAATTCTACATTGTGTCAGTACAAATAAACTTTTCACTATTTAAAAAATATATTTAAGAAATTAATCCTCTAACACTATTTATATGGAGAGAAAAAAAAACGTTTACTAATAGTGCTTATTATTACGACGAGAAACGAAAACAAACTTTAAAAAGCTGGTGGTTTTTATTACGTTATGTCTTTGTCCATTCCTTTACAACGCCAGTTGGCGCGACCCCGTGTTGAAGCAGGTAACTTTATCACCACGTGTTGAAGCAGGTCACTTTATCAACCCCATGCTGTGGCAGGTCACTTTATCAACCCCGTGCTGTAGCAGGTCACTTTATCAACCCCGTGCTGTGGCAGGTCACTTTATCAACCCCGTGCTGTAGCAGGTCACTTTATCAACCCCGTGCTGTAGCAGGTCACTTTATCAACCCCGTGCTGTAGCAGGTCACTTTATCAACCCCGTGCTGTAGCAGGTCACTTTATCAACCCCGTGCTGTAGCAGGTCACTTTATCAACCCCGTGCTGTAGCAGGTCACTTTATCAACCCCGTGCTGTAGCAGGTCACTTTATCAACCCCGTGCTGTAGCAGGTCACTTTATCAACCCCGTGCTGATACACATCATCGGCAGACATAATTTAATCGACAAAAAGTTAGTTAACATGGACACGTCATCGACAGCCAGATCATCGACTGACAGATCATTGACACCCAGATCATCGACTGACAGATCGATTTAAACCCAGATCATCGACTGACAGATCATCGACAGCCAGATCATCGACTGACAGATCATCGACCGAGAGATCATCGACTGACAGATCATCGACTGACAGACCATCGACAGCCAGATCATCGAAAGATCATCGACAGCCAGATCATCGACAGCCAGATCATCGACTGACAGATCATTGACACCCAGATCATCGACTGACAGATCGATTTAAACCCAGATCATCGACTGACAGATCATCGACAGCCAGATCATCGACTGACAGATCATCGACCGAGAGATCATCGACTGACAGATCATCGACTGACAGACCATCGACAGCCAGATCATCGAAAGATCATCGACAGCCAGATCATCGACAGATCATCGACACTCAGATCATCGACTGACAGATCACCGACAAACCTTTCAGTGACGGGTATCACAGGGCGTAAATCTTTATGCCATTGCACGGTACTGTCTGCACTGATGGATTCAATTTGTGCAATATTAGATGTCATGAGATTATCGTTCTTTAAAGTTACGGTGACACATCTCTAAAAAAACAACAACTCGGAATGTATGTGTAAGAGCACGGTATAAAAAAAAAAAGATGTTGTTGTACCTCAGACTCCATCTCAGACTCCATCTCAGACTCCATCTCAGACTCCATCTCAGACTCCGCACTTTGGAAAAGAAAAAGGAAACAATTCTACTAAGAATTTAATAAATATTTCAGAAAAAAAAATAACGATAATAACAAATCCTTACAAAAAAAAAATATATATATATATATATTAAAATCATTGGTTAACATCTTCTTCTCTTCTTTCTTATAGCCATCTCACTCCCAATGGAGCATAGGCCATCCACAATACTTTTTCCATCTGTCCCTGTCCTGGGCTATCTTTGCTAGTTCAGCCCAGCTTGACTTCATTCTCTTCACCTCTGTCTCTACTCCTTTCTTCCACGTGGCTCTTGGTCTTCCTCTTTTCCTGGTACCTTGAGGATTTCAGTTCAGGGCCTGTCTTGTGATGTTAGTGCTTGATTCCCTTAATGTTTGCCCTATCCATCTCCATTTCTCAATTTTCTCTTCTTTTCCACCGGGACACTTGATGTTCTTTCCCAAAGGACAGTGGTACGAATTTTGTCAAACCATCTTATTTTGAGGATCCTCCGCAAGCATCTGTTTATAAAAACCTTCATTTTTTTTATTTTAGTTTTTGTTGTTCTCCAAGTTTCACAGCCATACAAAAAAGTGTCTTGACAATTGAGTCAAATATTTGTAACTTTGTCTTTGTCAGTATTTCACTTGGTTAACATAGGTCAGTGCTAAGAGACTAAAACATCAAGGAAATGATGCATTAAGTAGCAAGTCTTCCTTGGTTTGACAAATCTTAATAAATAAATGTATGTATTTTATTCGTATATTCCAGTTATAATAAACTTTAGGCATCAGAATGATTTTCCTGGTCGTCTTCGCGGTTTTCTGCCTTGGTGCACTGGAGGCTAGGCCGAGTCTTCCTATTGTAAGTGCTGTTGGATAGTTGGCATTAGAGCAGTGGTTCTCAACCTTCCTAATGCCGCGACCCTTTTTTACAGTTCCTCATGTTGGGGTGACCCCCAACGATAATTTATTTTCCTTGCTGTTAATAAAATATGTGTTTTCCGATGGTCTTAGACGACCTCTGTGTAAGAGCCGTTCGACCCCCAAAGGGTCACGACCCATATGTTGAGAACCGCTGGCCTAGAGTTTAGATTAACAAGAATTTGAAGTTAACAGTCACTTGCCTCGAGGTGATGCTGACTTTTTACTGGATATCAGTTGAGCAGAATTTTTTTTATAGATGAACAAGAAAGGCAAGGAGGTTATTGCTATGACATGATCTCGGCATCGCAAGCTTAGCAGTCTCCCAGATAATTTAATTACAAAACTTTAGTAACATTTTTAAAGAAGCTTAATTATAGACCATTACATCCTCTCGAACCCTTAGGGAAACAAAACTGTAATATTTTAAATAACAAAGGTGATTTTTTTTCGTCAGAATGGACAGTTGAATATCTTCAACCCACCAGACAAAAGGGCCATAAGTCTGGCCGAATTCATCTTACAGAATCCAAATCTAAATATCTTCAACCCACCAGACAAAAGGGCCATAAGTCTTGCCGAATTCATCTTGCAGAACCCAAATCTAAATATCTTCAATCCACCAGACAAAAGGGCCATAAGTCTTGCCGAATTCATCTTACAAAACCCAAATCTAAATATCTTCAACCCACCAGACAAAAGGGCCATAAGTCTGGCCGAATTCATCTTGCAGAACCCACCTCTCAACGTATTTAATCCACCAAACAAACGAGAGGTAATGATTACATAAAAAAGAGAACATCATTTTTGTAAGCAAGTGCAACTTATATTTTGAAAACGATGCTCAACAATATATGAATGATCAATGCATTGATCGCGTGCCCTCAAAATATAGAAGAAGATGAAATATTTTTTTTTAAAGGAAAGTCAACATAATTAAGTTTCATTCTTGTTCACAATGCTTTGGGCTAGCTTTTCGAACAACAAGACAGTGTTCAGTATATTTAGACCACCACATCAATTTTTTACACGAATATCAAAGGTACCAAGGTAACAAAGATATTATATGAATGGTGTTGCTTTATCACTATATTGAATTTTAATTTTTTTATTTTTTTTTAAAAAAAGCTCTTTATTTTCTCAAGCGGTAAAATATATTTATTGAAAAAGTTATTGACAATAATTACTCTTTTGATAATGCGCTTTTTAATGCTAAAAAATGTATACTTCTACATCACATCCGCAGGTTTCAGAAGACGTCCAAGATATAGTTCTCACTGAGCCTTTGAAAGATCTGCTCCTCAACCCTTTGTTTTTTACCAGCAAGAAAAGTGTGCAGCCAGTGTTCAATTTTAACTGGACCAAAATTTTAGAAGAACTCCCACTGGTTGTGAGTAGAAAGAGTGAGGCAAGTAAAAGGGGAATATTTAATGGGCAATAACGTTGATTTTCCCCCCCAACTTCCACTTTCTTCTTGGCAGATATAGAGAGCCCTCTAGGATTTCATATGTGGTTTGGGTAAGATTTTAATGCCCCCCAAACTGCCTTAGTCAGCTAAAAATTTTAATTCGTGCCTGTATCGAAGTTCAAATTAAATTTTACTGGTACCTAGATATATTTCTGTCTTATATACCTATGATTCCTTTTTTTTTTTTAAATAACAGAAGTTTAAACCAAATTTTGAAAAGCTAATGGCTAATGGGATCTTAAAAACAAATGACTAACATAAAAATACTAGGACTTATTACATTTTATACATTATTTCTTTTCTAACATATTTCTGCAAATTAAAAATTTTTATTTCTAATTTTTAAAAATATTTGATTATTTTGATTTGTTAGAACTATTTTAAATATGTTTATGTTAAAAAAATATCATTTAATTACTACCAATATTGTTAAAATACATTCGCATTTTTGTGTTTAGTAAATGTTTTTAATTTCTAACTCAACAACTGTTAAGGCTATGGCCATTTGTTTCGAAAACTTGTTCGAATTCTTGGTATCCTTGAGATCGTTCGAAAACTACGTCACGCAAAAAAATGACCTTTTAAGACAACCCTCCCCTTTAGTAAATGTTTTTAATTTCTACCTCAACAACTGTTAAGGCTATGGCCATTTGTTTCGAAAACTTGTTCGAATTCTTGGTATCCTTGAGATCGTTCGAAAACTACGTCACGCAAAAAAATGACCTTTTAAGACCCCCCTCCCCCTGTCACAAAGTGTCACGAATTCTTCAGCCCCCCCCCCCTTTTTTTTAGTGTCACGTCACACCTAAACAAAAATCAAAACATACATAAAGTTTTCATAACTAAATTAAGATTTTATTTTACTCTTTAACATTTTCCCATAATGGATTAAGATTAAAATTTAGTATTATTAGAATCTGTTACGCGAAACAATGAAGTAATCCCCGCGGTGAATGTAAAATGGCCATAACAGGTTTTGCGCCGAAGGTGTGCGCGACTGAGATTCACATTACCTATAATACCTGAGGCAATTTCAACCTCAAATTAATGTTGTTGTTTTTTTTTTAATTAATTGAATAAAGATTTTTCAAAATTACAAAATTTTAGATTAAAAATAAATAAATTGTGACGTCACAAAATTTTGACCCCCTCTCCCCCTATCACAAAGTGTTACACATTCTCACCCCTCCCCCCTTTTTCCCCCGTGAGCGTGACGTAATTTGCGAACGACCCGAATTTTCACAAGGCGCTCTATTTGAAGGAAAAATAAACCTGAGGTAATTAATGCAATTAATCTAATTGTATTTAGTGGAATGGATAGGCCTGGCAGCAGCTATAACTTAGTGGGTTATTGATTTAATCAGGGTCTGCTAGAGGTCACGTGAAATACAATTAAATTTAAAATTGAAATACAAAAATGAAAATCTAGCATTATTTCCTGAGGTATGGAGTCATTATAGAGGCTGCTTCCACTTATTTCTCCATGTTCCGCTGCATGTGCTGCTCCATGTGCTGTTACATGTGTTACTCCATGTTTTGCTCAATGTGCTGCTCCATGTGCTGCTCCATGTGCTGCTCCATGTGCTGCTCCATGAGCTGCTCCATGTGCTGCTCCATGTGCTGTTCCATGTGCTGCTCCATGCGTTGCTCCATGTGCTGCTCCATGCGTTGCTCCATGCGTTGCTCCATGCGTTGCTCCATGTGCTGCTCCATGCGCTGCTCCATGAGCTGCTATTTTCGTAGCAGATTGAGCCCATTTTGTAAAATATGATGAAATTACATTTTTAATTATTATTATTTTTTTTATGAATGTTTCTCCTTGTCAAGTTTAAGCAAACTCATGTTAAAATAATATTACGAACTAGGCAACGCCAATCTAAAAGAATTTCTTCAGGAAAAAAATCATTAGAAATGATAAAATAGCCTTTTTATAAAGAACTTTGATTCTCCTTTCTAACTTGTTCACGTTTACTTTCTATACTAAAAAATAAACACTGCTACCTCCGCAGGTTTCAGGAGACGTCCAAGATATAGTTCTCACCGAGCCTTTGAAAGATCTGCTCCTCAACCCTTTGTTTTTTACCAGCAAGAAAAGTGTGCAGCCAGTGCTTAATATTAACTGGACCAAACTTTTAGAAGAACTCCCACTGGTTGTGAGCAGAAAGAGTGAGAATATTAAAAAAGCAGTGATTGATTGGAATAGCTTGCCCCAAATTCCACTTCTTTTGAGCAAGAAAAGTGAAAGGGATGTAATTGATTGGAAAAATATCATTTTGCCCGAACTCCCACTTCTTTTAAGCAAGAAAAGTGAAAGGGATGTAATTGATTGGAAAAATATCATTTTGCCCGAACTCCCACTTCTTTTAAGCAAGAAAAGTGAAAGGGATGTAATTGATTGGAAAAATATCATTTTGCCCGAACTCCCACTTCTTTTAAGCAAGAAAAGCGAAAGGGATGTAATTGATTGGAAAAATATCATTTTGCCCGAACTCCCACTTCTTTTAAGCAAGAAAAGTGAAAGGGATGTAATTGATTGGAAAAATATCATTTTGCCCGAACTCCCACTTCTTTTAAGCAAGAAAAGCGAAAGGGATGTAATTGATTGGAAAAATATCATTTTGCCCGAACTCCCACTTCTTTTAAGCAAGAAAAGCGAAAGGGATGTAATTGATTGGAAAAATATCATTTTGCCCGAACTCCCACTTCTTTTAAGCAAGAAAAGCGAAAGGGATGTAATTGATTGGAAAAATATCATTTTGCCCGAACTCCCACTTCTTTTAAGCAAGAAAAGCGAAAGGGATGTAATTGATTGGAAAAATATCATTTTGCCCGAACTCCCACTTCTTTTAAGCAAGAAAAGTGAAAGGGATGTAATTGATTGGAAAAATATCATTTTGCCCGAACTCCCACTTCTTTTAAGCAAGAAAAGCGAAAGGGATGTAATTGATTGGAAAAATATCATTTTGCCCGAACTCCCACTTCTTTTAAGCAAGAAAAGTGAAAGGGATGTAATTGATTGGAAAAATATCATTTTGCCCCAATTGGAAGATATTTTAAGCAGAAATAGTGAGGCTTCTAAGAGGTCAAATGTAGATTGGGCAAGCCTTTTATTGCCCCAAACTGCGCTAGTCAGCTAAAGAAAGAATTGCGTAAAAAGGCATTCTGTAACGAAGTTAAAATATTTCGTTGAACCTAAATACGTTTATTTTTTTTTTTTAAATTATTGATGTTTTTATTTAAGTTATACTGTATCATTTAAGATGATTATTTTATTTAAAACACTTCTAAAATGTTACATTGCTATTTTTGGCTTCATTTCTTTTTAATTGTGATACAAATGGAACATATTTTCTTAGAAATTTTTATTATGTTTTTCTTTGTTCGTTTTTCTTTTAAGTTGTTGTAGAGACGCAGATACTTGTGTATCTAAATAAAGATTTAATATAACTAATATGCATTTTTGTGTGTATGTAACTATAATTAATATTTTATTTTGTATGGGTCAGTGGCATTATTGCAGCCAGGTTTTGACACTAGGGGGGCGGAGGGGGGGAAGGGGGGGCTAATTGTTTTTTTAAGGCATTTACAACAATAAATTAAACTAATAAAATTGTTTAATTTTACATGGGTTTATTTTTGCATTCGTCACACTTTAAGATTCAACGTGTTGGAAACAATAATATATATACATATATATATACAGATTAATATAAATAGTACATATAAACTAGTGAGAGCCCGCCAATACTTGGCGGTGGCAGTGCGTGAACTTCCCATGTACTAAAGTTACTTGAGAATACATTCAATGCAGTAACGCTCTCTATAAGAATTAATATTTGCCCCCCCCCCCCCCCACGAGGTGCGTTAGGTGAAACCAAAAGTTTCGAGTATATAAAAAAAAAAACGGTTTGTATTTTTTGTTAACCTGGCATTCCAATAATGACATGCTAAAAACATATCTCCATTAATGAAAGCAGTATCATGTAATTTCTAAGTTATATTACCGTATCATCATCATTCATAAATGCAAGTGAAGACTATTTTAATGGCATTATGTTATAAAATTATGACATCTGTGGTTATTAAATATGCATTAGTAAGAGGTTACTCAGTTACTGTCTCTGCTCAATGTTTACCTAAAATCAAATTTGAGCATTTAAGTAAACACAAGTTCACCTTAATTTTTTAATATTTACAGAGCTGATTTGGAAAAATCTTTAATAATGCGAAATTGAAAAAAAGATTTAAAAAAAAAGAAATGTGAACATCCCATTTGGTGTGGACAGCCATACATTATCCCGTCATATTTTACATATAAGACGCTGGAATGTGTCGTTCATCTCTTGTGGAGGTTATTAAGAGCATCGAACTGCCCCCTCCCTCTTCTCATGCATCATGTGTGACCTGCACGGCCCAGTAGTCAAGTGAATAGATTCATGTAGCTCTTCCCTTTCCTCAAAACAGAACTACTCGCCTGAGCTTGACTGGTTACCGCAGCGTGTCCCAGTTTTTATAATGACACCTCGCTTGAGTGGAAGTGGATGGTGATTTATACCTTCAACACCCGTGGTGGTGTTATCAAAAGCCCCAGGTACACCATAAACCTCAGCAAAGGCGGAACTAGTTGGCTCAGAACGCCACACATTACAATTTTTCAGCACCCGGAATGGGTCTGATTGAGAAATTGTATTCCTGCAATGAGTAATGTTAAAGCTCATCCCGCAACCCGATTATTTATGGACTTAGATGTTTGTGGAACTGTCCACCGTAGAATTGGGGGGGGGGGGGGGGGGTTACCGCACCGGGTGACACCCACTGGTGCAGCCTGCAGCCTACAGATATTTCCTGACTTCGCTGTTGTAAACTGTTTTGTTGCCCACGTAAAGCTGGTGCATATAGCGATCGTCTACCCGTTATAGCATCATATGTCTCCTGGGTAAATGCTATAACGAATATTTTCTCATTATTTGACCATAAATATTCATGTTGTGCGGACCCACAACGCCAGACTCTCGGACCGGCACCAGGCTTTATTGGAGATATACAAATTCTATATTTATGGTCTCCGGAATTCAGGATACCAATTGAAGACTTTGTGCAAAAAAAATATGGGCCTACGTACTTTCTGTCGCGACAGAGGCCAGGGCTAGAGGGTTGAATTCGGGGACGTAGCTAGGGTTGGTGTCACCCGGGGTGGGCCAAACATAATTTGTCGCTCACGGTTATTTATACGACAAAAAAAAACAACACAAAAACTCCTCCGATTGGCCGACAATGCCACCCCCTCAATGTATAGAAAAACAAGTGCCGCCAGTGTCGGACCACCCGCTCACCATCCCCCCCTACCAACGCCACTGGTTAAATCTTCAAAAGTGACAGCCCTGCGGCACCTCAGTCATGGTTTCTTTCAGCTATATCTCCGGGGGGGGGGGCACTGCCCCCCAATGGGAAAGCCAAGGGCAAATCCCCCCGACCCAAAAATGTCCAACAATAAATCTACTGAAACTGCTGTCACTGCCTGCCCCCCCCCCCCCCCCCCGAAAACTCTAAGTACGCCCCCGGGGGAAAATTACTGAACTAATCACTGACCTCTGTGCCATTTGAGCGGGTTGATCCTGAAGTGTCAAAGTGTCCTCGTTTTATAGCCATTTTCATTGTTTCTATAGAATAGTAGTTACTATCCTAGTGTCTCATTTGTATTTACTTAGTTTACATGTTTTAATAATTGTAATAAGTGTCAAAGTGTCCTCGTTTTATAGCCATTTTCATTGTTTCTATAGAATAGTAGTTACTATCCTAGTGTCTCATTTGTATTTACTTAGTTTACATGTTTTAATAATTGTAAAGCGCTTAGAGCTTTATGATAAGCGCTATATAAAAATGCCTAAATAAATAAAATAAATAAATATATATACTTGCAAAAGCTGAGCCAACATTTGGAAGACAAAATAAGTTTTTCCCCCTTGTCTATTCAGTATGTTTTACGCATTTTGTGAGTCAAAACACCCTTAAAAAACAAATATTTTACATTTGCAAGTCTTTTATGTTACTTTTATGTTACCTTGGCATTTACCTTCAAACCTTACTGAGTTACCAGCCAATTGCAGCAATTGTTACGTGCGGGAAAGAGCTAATCACAAAATGCGTTGTACCAAAGCAAGGCTACCAGACCTTGGGAACTTTCCCAAGATTTTAGGAATTCACGATCCCATTTGGGATCTGGTGAATATTTATGAAAACTAGGGGAAACCGTGGGTTATTTTAAATTAAAATTGTTTGAAAATTAATTCATTTAAAAAAAAAAATCAAAAAAACTTTAAAATAAAGGAAGTTTTTGTTTTTGAAAACAAAGGAAATTTCTTTCCCACTACTTTCAAGTTTTGAAATCAGTGAGTTTGGTTTTACTTTTGCATAAGAAAGTAAAAATAAACAAATAAAATCCAATGTCGATCAAACTGACACTGTTCATCGGGGCATTCTAAGCAATAAATATTCTTAACACAAGTCTCAATCTTATGTAATTTGTGTAAAAATGGTAGGCTTGGAAATACTCTTGTAACTCGTTCCCCCATAATCACCACTACAATCCGTTTAGTGAAAAAAAAAAAAAAGAGTGGGGTGGGGGTGGATTCACCATAATTGGCAAAATAGATGAATATAAATGGTGGGCAGAAATATGTTGAGGCTTGAAAATAAAGTACAAGACCAATAGGCGAACATTTCAGATATACGCCTTCTTCAGCAGACAATACAATGCAATAATCAACAGAAACATTTAAATAAAATTATTATTATTATTTTTGTTTTTTTGGTGTTTTTTTTTGTTGAAAATCTCAAGAACGTCTATGTTTAGAAGAGGAAGATATACATTTATTTACTTTAGATGGCTTGAACGCAGTCCTTCATGTAGGCCTATTATCCAAAGTAGGGCCTAATAGGGGAAAAAAAAGTAAAATGGTATAATTAAAGTTCTAATTTGGAATGGCTTAAGATCCTAATTTAAAGATTAGCTACGGCAGAACAAAGACAGATTCTAGCTTTTGAAAATAATTCAAATTTACCGACGTCTGCACCAAGAAAAAGTCAATTAATAAATATAAATGAACAACTCACCGCAGATGAACAGATGGCAAATAGTGAGCTGTAACATACGCACATGAAACTTGGATCCTAACAAAACAAAAAACAAAAAACAAACGGCAGAAAACCTATTAAACAAAGCTGTTTAGAAAATAATAATAATAAAGAATATTTCGTTACTTCGAGGGCTGCCAAGTGGGTGCTGGCGGGCCACATGCAGCCCGCGGGCAGTACGCTGTGCAAGCCTGACTTAGAGAGAATGCCAAATGACAGATTAGAGAGAATGCCACATGACAACGGAGTAAAAAGGGCGCATCACCAAAACCCCAGAGGAAAACGGCTCAAAGGCAGACCTGGGCTTAGGTGGAAGGATGATGTGGAAAAAGATCTACAGCACCTGGGAATCGAAGCATGCCATGTAAAAGAAAAGCATAGTTAGGTCTGAGTGGAAGGAAGTTGTGGAGCAGACCAAAGCCCTACAGAGGCTGTAGTGCCACATGGATGGGTGGAGTTGTTTATTGTTCCATACTTTTCCGAACATAACAAACCAACAACATTTTAATAAAGTTGATAATTTTCTTGAAATTTGTAAAAATCGCACCCCTTGATAGTCAATAGTTTCAAAATTATCCATGAAAAAACACACAAAAAAAAAACAACAACAACAACATAAAAACAAACAATGGATTTAAATATGTATTGTTATTCAAGACATGATCGCATTAGAAATATTATTGTGCTCTTCTATTAAACACTGAGTGGATATTTTTACAAGAGTATGTGGTGGTAAGGTTTTATAGCCTAACTGTACTAAATCCAATGTATTTGTTATTTTGGGTTATAATTATAATAAAACACAAAAGTATAATAAATCGATGTGATAAACCTTATTTAAATAACTGTGAGTCAATTACTGTATTTCTGATGCATTAATGAAAAAAAAAAAAAAATTGAAAGAAAAATTCTGATATAGCGTATTTTCATAACTGGGTAATCCTGGGAAATATTTCGAAAAAATCTTGGGAATTTTGAAAAAAGAGAGTGGCAGCCCACAACATATCGTTCATATTTTTTTTAGATCATTCAAGATGGCGGAGCACGACACGAGGTACAGCGAAATTGACAGAAATTATAACAAATCTCGCATCAAGTATCAAAAAGAAAACTTCATGTTCGAAGGTAAGACATATTCATATAAAATTAAAGCGTTTCCAACTCATAAAGAATTTGGTAAATAATTTTTTGCAGTGAATTCACCAAGTTAATTGCTTCAAAACTAGGTGCAAAGTCAAAACTGACAAAACTCGTATCGTCGTACTATTTACTAAAATTACGTTTAACACTATGACGACTCAATGACTACTAAAACTAT